CCATGCATTCTGAGATTTTACCTTAAAAATGTTTTTGTCATTTCATCCATGTCGACTAATGAGCTTTCTGAAGAGTTTCGGCTCAGCCTCCTTTCCACAGACAAGCTTCTCCCTCGGCTGCCCGGCCGCACCATCTGAGGGTGGGGCTCTCTGGAGCGCGAACGGCCCCTCTCCTGAAACACTGGTGACACTAGCATGTCCCTCCGCACTTTCCTTTGTCTATTAAGATTAAAAAGCTTATCAAAATACAGACAACAACTAAAGATATTAAGATTTTTTTTTTTTACTTCTTGATTTCTGCTTCTTTCTGTCTGCGCTGTTTGTCCTGGATATAAGCAGTTGGATCAAAGCGAGAACCTCTTGAACCTATAAAATAAATCATGTAACAGAAACATACAAAAAACAAGTACAACATTATTAAGACAGATATTTAGTTTTGTAAACTTAAAAAAAAAAAAACAACTTTAATTACAATACAGAAATAGTCAAAATAAGAAACTTGTGTCGAGCAGGGCAATATGGATAACAGTTGATCACTAAATTTTGCGATATTAATAAACCTAAGGCTGCTTAAAGGTGGCTTTTATTGTCTCCATATATATCACGAAATCAACAGCAGTACCAGTGGGAGATGGAGAGGGTCTTGGTATCCGGCCTCTTGGTCCTGTCGAGTCTGATCTTCTGCCTCGCTCCTCGGACCTCTGAATCCTGTCCTCCATCCGTTCCCTGGACCCCGACTGCACTCGGACCACCCCGTATCCAGACCTCCTCTCTCGGGACAAAGATCGGTAGACTTCACCTTCAAGTCGAGAGGCGATGTGACTAGAAACTGGAGTCACTTTTCTACAGTAACACAAGAATCGATAAGTAAATAGAGGGATAGACTCAAATTAGTTAGTAGAAGTAAGTATTCGTAAAAGAGAGAAAGAAAGGATATAGTACATGCTTAGATTGTCTAACCCTCTCCGCAGCAGCGCCAGTTCATTGGTGAGACTCTTGACACGAGCTCTGAGGGCACACTCTGACGCACGCAGCTCCTCGAACTAACCAATCGATGGAAATATGTCAAAGCAAAAACAATGAATTATTTTGTGTAAATCAACACTGTGAAAAGCACAACCATTGGGCAGGCATAATATTTGAGAGAGTATCTATCAACGATGTACAGACGTGAGATTAAGTTAATAAGAATAAGACTGAGATTTTGACAAAAAAATATAATAAATTGTTTGCCTCTTCATCAGTTTGGCCTCACTTATTTATTTTATTTAATACTTTTTTGTCATTGTAGCCCTGCTTGAAATACAGAGGTGTAACTCATCAGCATCATTAACCCTTTTTTATGTGTGCCAAATGTAAACACATCTCTCACACGCTCATTGCCACACAATCATTTCCACGTGTGCACAATCTTGCGGCACAATAACCCATTCCTACTAAATATGAAAAATGAAGGACGATCAGATTAAGCATAATTGGTAATGATTCATTTCTTCAATGATGTGTACCATTTGTACATTTTTGCCACTGATTTATTAGAGTACCTGTTCCATTAGAAGTCTCTGTTCCTGACTCCTTTTACTTGCAGAGCGCTGGTTCTTGGCTCTTTCTTTCATAAGTTGCTCCTCAAGAGATCGGACCACATCTCGAGCTCTCCACTCCTCTCTCCCAGGGGTCCCCATACCCCCTCCAATCTGAAGTCTCTCCAAAACTTTAGCCATGGCATCCTTCTCTTCCTTTACCAGCAATAACCTTCAAAAACAATATATTTCATTAAAGAGCATTGTTAAAAAGGACATATAATGAAACATATAAACATTTATATTATTACTATGCTCCTTGGTCATTAGCTTACACAAACTGATGATGATACAAGTAATCCTCTATTGTCCTGTATTTGAAGCTTGAGAGATTCGCAAATTTCAGTTTTCACCTATCCTCTATACCCCCTACCTTCCTATTATAATTTTTTTTTTCAAACTATGTAAAATGTGGTTATTTCACATAGGGGTAAAAATGTTGTGAAGCCATTTTTCAACAATACAATGCAGAAAAGTAAAATGATTACCTACATAAACTATAGTACTAGAAAAAAGCATATTATATTTAGTAAAGGTATAAATGCATACTCTTCTCGTAGCTGCTGTATTTCCATTTTGTCGGATTTGTTGATTCCCTGAGAAGTGACTGTGCCGAGTTCCGCCCGTAAAGCTCTGATCTCTTTTTGTAGCAGAGCAGGGTCAGGTTTTCCAACATAGGGTAGAGGCAATGGGTAATGAATCCTGGATGATAAAAAAGAAAGCAAAAAAACCCCCAAACAAACAAAAAAAAAAAACAATTAGTGGGCATTTATCAATTTTTTTATTCATATTTACTTGTTTAGTGTTTGCCGTCTATCTACATCTTCTGTTGGAGTCAAGCCATGTGGGGCTGCACAAAAATGAAACATCTGCAGTATATTAAGAATTGCAATACTGACATTTTAGTTATTTCAGTTTAATTACATCAAAAATGCACATGCCTGCATTTACTTCATTAACTCAAGATAACAACTGAACAGAAACAAAACCAAGATTGATCAGGGCAAATTTAGGGCTTCATAATTAAAATCAGCCTAAAATCAGCCTAAAATCAGCCAATAAAAAACAGGAACATTTCAGTAAGATGGAGAACAAAACAGATGAAACTAATTAAAACCGTCTCTCCCCAATTTACACTACCTTTCCACACTATGTACTGACCTGTCTAATAAAGCCTATGAACAGATATAAAATAAACAAAAACAAACCGGTCAAACTCGACGGTGTAAATGAGGATGAGATATCGTTTGGCGGTCAGGGCAGAGGACTGTTGATTGGCACGGGGCCGACTGACCACTCCTGCTTTTCTGTTACGCAGCAGCTCCAGGTCAGCATAGGTCAGGAGGTCCAGAGTGACTGAATCGCTTGACTGTGCAAATTACAGAAAAAAATCAGGCATCATCATTACTACTGAGAAATGCAAAATAAAAGGGCACTAAAAGCATTTCTTACATTCCTAGTTAATTTAATTTCAACACAACATTATAACACAATCCCAAATGCAATGTCATTAAGGTGAGTAACATCCAAATTTAAGATCTAGAACCACAAAAGCTTCCAATTTCACTTCTAGTTCGCCTGCGTGTTAATCGACTGTAGAAAATGACAACGACAGCTCACGATAGCAGCACAATTTTCGCTTCAGTGAAAATACCCTGCTTCAATGAACACATCAATGAGCAGTTAGTCAGGTCATATTTATCCACTCTGAATGGGTTTCTGCAGTTTTGGTTTCATGTGTTATATTTATTTATTATTATTTTTTGTGTTTGTGTATTTTTGTTTTTAAGTATTCAAATTTGCACACCCTCTTAACAGCGGATTCCAACATGCTACAGAATATAGGAAACTGCTTGAAGTTGCCTGTTTTTCTGGTGAGGTCTTCGATATCTGAAAAAAACCCAAAACAAAAAAATTTAAAATTTCAGATCAGATTTGGTGTAGATTTTATTCCAAGTATAGTGTCCATGCATTTTACTTACATGCTGGGTCAAATTCCCCTCTCCATTGATCTGCTGTTGTAGAATCAGAAATTTCAACAATCAACAGCCCATTGTCCACTTCCATTTTAACGGCAAACTCCACACCTCGAAACACTATATCCTTCATTAGCTCTGCTCCTTCCTCCATCACTCCAGGTCTGTGTGAAACAAGGCAAAAAAATAATGATAAAGATACAGTTTGATACAAAAGCCCTGACACAATTTAGCAGCTCTACACCATTTTGGCAGAATCTAATGCAAAATAAATCAGTCAGTTCAAACTGTATATCATATTTAAGGGTGTATGTAAGCTTTTTTGGTGAAGGGTCTGCCATCTGCTTGTTTCCATCAAGACATTATTGCTTTGCCTGGAAAGTTCCACTATATAGCATTAAACATATTTATCTCCACAGTGACAAGGAAGAGACACCACAAAACCAAGTTACAGGTCAGATCTGTGAAGAGGCAACCCCAATCTAAGCTATTAAAACACCCATATTTAAATATGCAAGATACATTTATTTTAGTTTAAATAGAGTAGACATTCAAGGCAAAGCAATAACATCTGAGAAACTCTGATGATAACCCCTCCACCAAGAGGTGCATAGTACAGCTTTAATTTAATAAGCAGACTAATTGCCATTTTGTCTGTCTTGACAAAAACACACCGAAAGGGGCAGAGGAGAGTCTCTTGAGCAAATTTCCAAAAGGAGTGATCGTCATTTTAGTGAAAAGTTGAGCTCCGTGTGTGATATCAAATGTCGAGGGCTCAACACGACCCTTTTCATGCATGTTATGAGGTAGGTAATGAACTGTGCCTATTTGACGGTGAAAACTCACGCATGCATTTTACCATGTTTTACTCTCTCCGCGGGGATAAACCTCAGCTTTCACTACGGCGGGAGATATTGCACTTTTCTTTCAGCATTTTATTTATTTACAGCATCGATTGCATGTAACCATTTTCACGCTAATGGAAATATGTCATATATAATGTTGGGGAATTTTAATTTCTGGGTCAAATAACGCCGTTAACATCTGTGCCCTGGAAACGTATGTAGCATAGTTAGCATCATTGGCTTGCAGCTTTGTTTACAATGAGATAAGATTGCTTTAGGATAACTTTAGTTGATTACCAATAAATTATGAAAGGTGGGGATACTGAGTCTGGGAAAAAATAATATCGTTTTACCTTTGGTTGATGCTGTAGTGGTTGTTGGTATTAGCTCCAGTCAGAAACCATAGTAAGTGGATGGACAGCGCCGATCTCGGTCATCTGCTCATTCACGGGCATCGGGAGCAGTGAGAGCCCGGTGTGTGGTGGTCTTTCATGGGGTCTCTGAGGTTCTGTTTGGGTCTGTGAGAGCGGTTCAACACCCGGGAACCCTCAAACTCTTCTTCGTCTTTACACCCCTCTTCCTCGGTGGACATTAGACGTGAGCGCGCGCCGTCTTTCGGTAATGTCACTGCCCTCCAGAGGCACACAGCACAAACTTTACCCCCACTAAGCGCTTTCATCTGTAGATGACTCAATGAACGTGAAGTCAACGTTAGTTTTTGTTTATTTATACACACTTAAAGGTGCATATAATATTTTGGTGGGGTCCAGCACCTGCTTGACTCTATTTGTCACTGCTTTGCCTGGAATGTTACACTGTATTGCATTAAACATACCTCACTTGCATTTAGATTATTACATGTGTTTTTATTTCTTAGAAAAAGTTATGAAAAACATGCATTCTTGCATTGAGCTGAGTTGCCTCTTTACAGATCTGACCCGTAACATGGCACATGTTACTTGCTTGTCTCCATGGAGATGGTTACAGAATATTACAGGCAAAGCAACAAAAATGTTGACATGGAAAAATGCAGGTGGTGAAATGTCACATAGTGCCCTTTTTAACATTTTTTGTTGTCTAATTCCTTGGTTCTGAACCTTTTGCAGTCGTGACCCCCATAATAGTAACCAGTATTATAGGAACCTCCAATGATCAAGTAGCCTTATGTCTAATGTTAGTTTTTAATTTCAGAACATAGGTCTGGATTTATGGAACCATATTATGTAAAATTTTACATTTTTTCTCATGTCATCTGGGGCCTCTCTGAAAACATTTTGTGAGTCATGACCCCTTATGGGGGTTCCATACCTTGCATATTTACTCTGAAAAACAGACCGCTTCTGTAAATTTATAGTTCATTTATGTACAAGCCTTAGAGTCAGGTTTGTCATTGCTGGCCGTCTTCACGCCAGTTAGTTTAGGCTGTTCCCATAGTGACAGAGAGCAGTTAAGTAACTGAGTCTGAAGTCTGAGGTCTCTCTTGTCTTTGGACACAAGGCACTGAGCTGTGTATATGTCTCACTCCTGTGTTGTTCCTTCTTTCAGAACTGCACATGAAAAACAAGTCACCAGACATCACCCACTGTCTCCATGACCCCCAAAACACACCCGCAGTGGCAGCAAGTGGTTGGACATGAAGGTCAGGACATAGTTTTTCAATGTTTCTGTAGAGTTATGTGTGTATTTTGCTAACATTGTACTTTCTCACAGGGAGTTTTCAAGTTGGTGAACATGGCACTTTGCTGAAAAAATTTTGTAAGGGGGAACAGCAATGTTACATGAAACTTATGGAGGATTCTTTGAGGCCATTTGTTCCAGCGTACCATGGAGTTGTGCGAAAGGATAATCAGGATTACAACATGATGGAAAACCTACTTAACAATTTTAATTCACCTTACATTATGGATTGCAAGATCGGTAGCAGGTACAAGGCTAATGCTAACTCACTGATTATATGCCTGCTCATCAGATTTCTCTAAGCACTATTGGTCTTTTTTTCTAGTACTTAGTAATAAATTATTTTACATTTTGTTCACTGTAAATATATAATAGATCTGTAACAGCTTAATAATAGAAACTGGTCCATAATTACGTCAAATTTCAAAGTGGATCAGCTCCACATCTTCATAGTGGCGTCTGTATTAAGCAGTGGATTTTCTATTTATTTATTTTTGAAAATGGCTAGGTGCCTTTTTTTTTTTTTAACTCTGCCTTTTTAATGAACAGAACTGAAAAAAAAATCTGATCACTCAAGCCTCAGATTTAAGACAATACACCCACATGCATAAATCATTTGAAATACAACTTTGAGGCTTAAAATGAACGAACATATGAACATTGTTAGTAGCTCAAAACGGTTGATTTAGCATGACTCCTTTAAACTTTGTATTCATCTAGAACATATCTTGAGAATGAGCTGCAACTAGCTCGAGAGCGCCCCCAGCCTCGTCAGGACATGTTTGAGAAGATGGTTGCTGTGGATCCAGGCGCACCAACAGCTGAGGAGCAGGCTCAAAAGGCTGTTTTAAAAAGTAGATACATGCAGTGGAGAGAGACCCTGAGCTCCACCACTACCCTTGGCTTTCGCATTGAAGGATTTAAGGTACTTTAAGAACTATTGCTGGGTTCCAGATGAAAATGCAGCTTTCTACATAGGTCAAATATGTCATCATACGATGACAGGTTTAGGTGTTTCACAAGTACAATTAGATGTATCCTCTTTTAATCCAGAAACCAAATGAAGACTGTCAGACAAACTTCAAAAAGACCAAAAGTAAAGAACAAGTGATAAAAGCTCTGAGTGACTTTGTGGAATCCAACACACAAATTATGGTGAGTCTAGCAAAAAAATAAATAAAATTTAAGAAAATTAAGTGGTGTTAATTCTAACATTCCTCCTATAGTGGGGTTATTTAAGACAGTTGAGACAGCTGCGACAGGTCTTGGAGACATCAGATTTCTTCAAAACACATGAGGTTGGTACCACACACATAAGGTCATTGTTTCTATATATATAACTTTTGTACAAGAACTAAAGCTACTTAAAGCTCGAGTACCTGATTTTCAAACCGTAAAAAGAGAAAGTATAAATGTCACAAATCCTTTTGGCACATCTCTTCTGTTCACATGTATGATGAGTTTTTTGGTCACTAACACAGCAGTAGAGTGGACCACCAATGTGTATAGTGAGTCACACGCAGTGTGTATTGGTCTTTAAGGTTCTGCTTTGAAAAACAAAATTAACATATTTATAAAGAGAAAAGTTGGGTAAGTTGGGTAAGGTTTAAATAATATAATGAACAGCTTGAAGATTTTTATCATTTTGTATTGGGTGTTCAGGTATGGCTGAACAGTGGCACAGTGTTAGTTTGTATATATTATTATTATATATTATATATTATATATATTAAAATAATTTCCCCTGAGGATCAATAAAGTCTAAGTCTATATCTCGATGTCTAATTCTAAAATTGTGTAGCTGCACCCAGCATTTGTAAGGTATGAAAACCATTGTAAACACAGGCACTGATTTATTTTCCTGCACTGATTCTCTGTAGGTTGTTGGGAGCTCCTTACTATTTGTACACGACTGCTCTGGAAAAGCAGGAGTTTGGATGATTGACTTTGCAAAGACTGTGGCCCTCCCGCCTCACTTCAGAGTGGACCACCGATCTCCCTGGGTGGAGGGAAATCGAGAGGATGGATACCTGTGGGGCCTGGACAACCTCATTGATGTCTTGACCAACATGCTCCACTGCTAGAGGGGAATTAGGACTTGAAGTAATTTGGTAACAGGACCATTTTCAAAATATCAAATTTATCATAGATACAGCACAACTTAACAACTTGTTTAGTGAATTAAAGATGCACTATGTAACTTTTCTGGTGGAAGTATGGTATCAGATGTGTCTATCTCCAGACAAGCCGTCGATGCCACTAGGCCAAGTTACTGTATATGTAGATCTGTGGAGAGGCAAGCTTACTCACAGTAAGAATGCATGCATTTTTCTGTTTTCTTTTACTTATAAAAACAAATGTAATGTATATATGTTAGATAAGTTTAATGCCATACTGTAACATTCCAGGCACATCTATGAAGTCATTGGAGACAGGTGACACGCCACCTGAAAAGTTACATATTGCAATTTAAAATATGCGAATATGTGTACACTGCCATTTTAACTCATAATAATGTTGTTTTGTGGACGTTTGAAAGCACAATCTATACATTAAGAAATGAAATGGTGCTAAAGCAATTTTAAAATCTGAATTAATAATTTCTTAATGGGTTTATCTACAATGACCTGGCAAAGCAATAATAAATATGGATAAAACAGTTTTGTACTTCACTCCATAGACTCAATGAATGTTGACCATGAGGGAAAATATATGGCTAAAAGTATTATAAGGACACATATGTCACTGATAAGGATGACTGTGATCTTAAAATAGGCTTTAGTGTCATAGAGGAGATCAGAGACACTTTAAACAGATGTGTGTTCTGTCTTCCACACCTGCCCCAGCCTGGAGCAGTGGACACCGGGAACTCCTGCCCTCCGCAATGACATTAGTCAAGATTAAAGGCATGTGCAGACAGAGAAAATCATGATATACTCCACAAATCCTCCCACACAGTCTACGGGATAAACAAAAAAGCTTTTTAGAGACGTCCACTGTAGTTTGTTCTCGCGGGGCAAATTGATACAACAAGAAATATTACAAAAAAAACTTAAACTTACACATGCAATAGATCTATTTTGTTCTATAATGAAAAATGTACATTGTGCTCTATGTTTGCGTGGGATCCAGAATACACACAGTACAGAGAAATACTTATTCTGGTGGAAAATCTAGTTACTTTGAATTTAAAAGAAAATATTTGTATTGTGGCTTTATACATAGTTTAAATGATTTTCTTTAATTGAAAGTAATTTGAAGATTAGAGAAAGGTTCTTTTTGAATAGCTCTGATGAAGGTGCGCTCAGGACTAGATGGGGTGGGCCCATCGTGATGATGTCATCACTGCATCTCAGTGGAGCAAAAAAGATGCTCCTATAACTAGTCATTGTTCAGCACATCCAGTACGGCAGCACTCCGCTGCTTCAGGTATGTTTTCTAATATTACAATCATATTATCATCACAGATATTGAACTTCATCATGAGTTTTGCTCTAATTTAACTGAATGACATGACGTTGTATTTATCATCAAAGGTTTGTTTGTCTAATTTTCCTCTTGTTTATTCAAAATAACTTTGTTTCTGACCTCTCTGCTCCTCTAGCTCCTCTTGTGTTTCCCTGCAGCAGAGGCTGTATGATGCAGTGAGACTGTAAGTGGCTGGAGGTGGTGCGTGCTCTGTCTGTACTCATGGCTCAGAGGAAAGCTCGGGGCTGCTGCAGCTGCCTCCGGGCTCCTATGAATGAAGATAATGCACGGTTTTGCCTCCTGGCTGCGCTCATCCTGCTCTATTTACTGTGTGGAGCTGCCATCTTCTCAGCCCTTGAACACCCGTTTGAGTTGCGAGCACGCAGACGGTGGAAACAACAGGTGGATAACTTTACCCAGAGACATAGGGTGAACCTGGGCGCTCTGTACACTCTGCTGCGGCAGTATGAAGAGGCCAACGGAGCAGGCATCCGAGTGGACACCCTCCGACCACGCTGGGACTTCTCTGGAGCTCTATACTTTGTGGGAACTGTGGTCTCCACTATTGGTAAGTCTAATTTAAGTTTATTTTTTAAACCATAGTTTAGTTTAAAAATACATCCACGAACTCTCAGTTATTGGCTGCTGGAATGACTACAAATTATTTTTAATAAAACATATTCCATTTATATGATAAAGATTTGTGGAAAAATAAATATTTAATATTGAAGACAGTGTCCCACTTGAAAAGTGAAAATGCATAAATCATCATTGTATAAAATAACTGTCTACTTTTCAGGATTTGGCATGACAACACCAACAACCATTGCAGGCAAAATCTTCCTAATCTTCTATGGTTTGATTGGCTGTGCTGCTACCATCCTGTTCTTTAACCTGTTCCTGGAGCGCATCATCACCATGCTGGCCTACATCATGCGCTGGTTCCATGAGCGGCGGCTGAGGTGTGCTGGGGTGGAGGCAAGTCGTGAGGAGCAGCCTGAGGAGGAGGACAGTCTGGAGGGGTGGAAGCCCTCTGTGTATTATGTGATGCTGATCCTAGGCATGGCTTCAGTCGTGATTGCATGCAGTGCTTCCACTCTGTACAGTTCTATGGAGAACTGGAGTTACATCGACTCACTGTACTTCTGCTTTGTGGCATTCAGCACCATTGGCTTTGGTGACCTGGTGAGCAGTCAGAGGCAGCAGTACGAGTCTCAGGCTGTGTACAGCTTTGGGAACTGCCTGTTTATCCTCATGGGAGTGTGCTGCATCTATTCACTTTTTAATGTAATATCTATCATCATTAAGCAAACTCTAAACTGGATCCTAAGTAAACTGGTGTGCTCTGGATCTCTGCAGTCTTGCTCCTGCTGTGCAGTGGGCTGTTGGAGGTTCTGTTGCCCCTGCCTCTATAAAAAGTCTCGCCATCGCACTCGCCTGCCCCGACATCTGAATCAAAAACGCTTCAAGTGCAACACAGTGCACCCGGCCTCCTCTCAGCGCAGGACTGGGAGACGCCCCTACAAGGATGGCTCTGTGGAGACAGTCTTTGAGAGTGAGACTGATGGGGCAGGAGATGGAGCTGTACATTTGGGCAGGCGTCTGTCCGGAGAGATGATCTCTGTCAATGAGTTCATGGTGTCCAATAAAGTGTCTCTGGCTCTGCTCCAGAAGCAGCTGAGTGAGACTGCTCACCAGGGCCCCAGACAGAGCTATGCCCACCAGAATGGCTTCTCCGGGGGTGTCGGAGCTCTGGGCATCATGAACAACCGCCTGCAGGAGACCAGTGTAGATAGGTAGCAGGTAGCTGTGTTCAGGTGTTCTGGTGTTGCATGGAGCCAAACTTAAATGCCAAAATATTTTTTGTAGGATAACACCATGTCTTTTCAATTCACTCTGTATTTTTCCTGAACAATTTCTATGTAAACTCTATGCATCTTAAGTTGAATTTGTGTTTAAGCGGTTGTTTCACGGACAGAGGAGAACAGTACTGGGGCAGTAAAGAGATGTCTGATGTCATGAAGTGATTGGCTCATACAAATGCAATCACCAAAGATGCCCTGAAGGAGCCTTTGAAGAGAGCCACTGATTTAAGTGTATCCTTGACCATATATTTGTATGTCTGAGATGGTCTGCTATTAGATCATTAGGTCAGTGGTGGAAGATATAAACTAACCTATGACAAATAGAAAAAAACAGTGTTTCTTTATGCATTTTCTTTTCACCATTTGTAATTGAAATTCACATTAGTCGTCAAAGAACAGCATGGCGCAAGGTTTTAAGAGGCACACATCTAATCAAACTGGACCTCTGGAGGACACCCTCATGTCCGTAAGAGCAGTACAGACAGATGTAGGATCACTCTCCTGCCTCTAAAGCAGCCTCAAGCTTCATGGAGGAGGTCCTTTTCTATGCAAACAAATCCCTCATAATCCTTTTGATGAGAAAGATTAGCATAAAGCTAAAAGCTTAAGATTTGTTAGTATTAAGGAAATGCATAGTAACTATCAGCAATTCTCCTACTTGTTTGTTGTGGCAGTATAAAAAGAAACAAGCAATGTTAAAACTTTATTAGAATAAAGTAATCATGACTTATATTTCTATAGACAGAAAAGTAGTAACAGTAACACTTCAGCACAGTACAGTAGCGATGTTGATGCTCTTATGTCTTACAAAATATAATAAGGCAACACAGAAATTACTGTATCAACATTTCATTTGAAAAAATAAATCTCACATTGTACAGACAGATGTGTACTGAAATAAATAGAAAAGATAAATAAATTCACTTTTATATGTATTTCTTCATATATTTACTCTATATAACATCTCATTTCTGTCAAATGTATCCACAACATGCAGCATATTTTTCAAAGCATTCTTTTATACTGAGTTCAATACAGAACTTAGGGACACTAAAGAGATGTTTATTATAATATGCAAAGTTAAATCTTAAACTTAATAGCTTAACCTTTAATCTAATTTCATAATAGTACATTCCTATTTGCCGTTGGCAACGACACTTCCATTTACAAACTAGAGCATTAGCATATTACATTTAGTTGGCAACTTTGAATATCTTTTACATTTGACTTCATGTTACTTACTGTGTGCTACTCCTCTGTTACCTGAAATAAGTACTTCACAGTATGTTATTTTGAGTGTTACAGGCCATAAATGACTGAGGCAGGGTGTGTCTCTGAGAGCATTAGAAAATGTAGTGCAAATATAAATTGTATTTGAGCCTTCTCCTATCCATTCAGTATTTTTCCTGACAAGGTGCTGCTTGTCAACACAGTGTAAACAAACATCTATCTCTTTTTGCACATATGAAGATTTTGTATTAACAATAATTACAGTCTCTTTCAGTTTTCCTCGTAATGTCTTAGGAACCTCCCAATCCCTAGAAACACCAAAAGAAAATATTAGTAAAGAATGCAGCATTCATTATTTTTCACGGCATGTACTTACATTTGGTACAGTTGGCTTGTGTATTTCTTTTTGCTGATAGTATGCAGAAATTATGCAGTTTCTCCTACAAAACAGAAGAATTATCTGTAACATGTACAATAAATGTATAAAATGTGTTTCTTGGGATGTATCTTACTTGCTCTGTATGCCGCCCCCTGGTGGTAAACCAGGGATGACGCTTGATGCCAGGACCGTGAGAACAGATAGTAGGTCAGGCTCCTCTCCTCTGTTGCAAAACTCCTCATAAATCTCTGTCAAAACACAATGAAATGCAACATCCATTTTAGAAACTACTGCTCTGCAGAAATGAAGTAAATAAAAATTGTGTATGAGTCCAACACAAGGGAGCAAACAACCTTTAACTCACATGATGTCTTAATTACTGTATATTAACTATGCAAGTATAGCATGTTCTTAATGGATTACAAATATTATATATATAGTGAGGATTCCTGCTCCAGCAGTACTTAACAGACCAAATTAAGTTTAACTGACTTTCATTGTTTTACATCTAATGTAATAAGATGTATAAAATGGGTAACAAAAAAGGTGCTTTCACAGAAGAACATACCTGCCACTTTAGACTCCAGCAGGTCCTCCAGCTCAGCCTCCTGATGCAGTGCCTCAGCCGAAAGTTGGGGGGCGCCAGGGAAACAAAGCACAATGATGCTGATGTTGTCCAGGCTGCCCTGTGAAGCAAAACGTCCCATCAGCCAAACTCATTACAAATTTAAAAAAAAAAAAACCTTTGTCAGGACTGAGCTGTGCTAGAAAGAACCTATTGTGCTGAGACTCGCCCATTAGCTCAACAGAGACACAGCTGAGCAAAGAATTGTAAATGAAGGAAGATGTTGATGTCTTGAGGTCACTCTGTGTATCCATGCTGAAGTTCATGTTACATAATTGTGTGACATGATGGACATGACGGTCAAAGCACACTGAATACAGCTGTGGACCCTCTCTGACCTGCGGCGATTCAGTGTACTGTGCTTTGACTCTAAGATGTACTGACATGAGAACAGAAACATCATTTACATAAGGTGAACCACAGTGACCTGATGTTGTGGTTTATTCTTCTGACCCTCAAAGCACGTGTTCTCATTTGTACCACATGTGGGTACAAAGAATGCAGAGTCTAACACGTTTACCATAAAACTAGAAGAAAATGGTCCTCACATGAACTGAGAATTATCCCACCCGCTATCACACTCTCGGCTCTATTTTAGGCGACCCCTGTCAGTGTTGTACTTTAAGCACATACAAAAGTGTGGGGTGTTATTTGCACCTGCTGTGCAAGAAGAGACTGAATTAAACTCTGGCACTTACTAGATAATGATAAATCAGTTTCTTAGCTTTCATATTCTGTGTGCCCTCTTGACTTTATGTTGATCCCAATTGCCTCTAATGTTTTATACATGCACCATTTTTCTTATTTTCTTTCATTTGTTGAGTGTATTAACATTCAATAAACTGTTAATTCCTAACCAGTTACAGCCATCCATCACTTCCTAAAATGACTTTTCACACCTTCAGTTAAATGTTCCAGTGTTGAGTAGGATTATGTCATGAGCCACAGTGCATTTCTAGTGATGTAACTCCCTAATCAGCTGAGACATTGATTTGAGTGGCTGACCTTATAAAGGCAGAGGTCGATGACTTGGGAGCAGACATCCCTCAGGTCAGTGCAAACTTGGAGGCGGTTGTGGATGAAGGCGCACAGCTCTTCGTTAGTGATGGTGTCCCAAACACCATCACAGGCCAGAACCAAGAATTCATCGGCTGGGGAGCGCTCCACCACACACACCTCAGGTTCAGGTGACACCATCTGCTCACTGGGAGTCCTGTTCTCTGCCCCTTTGTAGCTGAAGTCCCCCAATGCGCGGGACACAGCCAGGGAGCCATTGATCCTTTGGAGGCACACGGACCCCCCTGCGCTCTCGATGCGCTCCTTCTCCAGGGGGCTGTACGGTTTATGGTCACTGGTGGAGAAGCACACCTGGCCTGATCTACACAGCATGGCCCTGGAGTCGCCACAATTCGCAAAGTAGATGTAGAATGGAGAGATGAGAGTGGCCACCACAGTAGTGCCCCCTCTTTCCCACCCCTCTCTGCGGGCCACTGTCTGAAGATGCTTGTCCGTTTGCAAAAAGCCTTCAATAATGGAGTCTTTTACTTTTTCAGGGTCATCCTCTGGTCCCATTCCACCTGTGGCCACAACAGATATTTTAAAGAAAGCTTTTCCAAAGTATTATGGTACATAGAGTGACATGTATAACAGCTTTCCCTCGCGTGCAAACATCAATGCACACATAATGATTCACTTACATAATGCTTGTTACCACACTCTCTGTTATATTCACAACATATTCTGTTACATAACTCACCTGTGGTCAGGAGGTTTCCTAAAAGGTGCTGGGAGCAATATTGTGCCACTGTATTGCCCGCATGGCCATCAAACACAGCAAAGAAACTCCATTCGGACAGCTCGCCCCCCAGCTGGGGTACACAGTTGTGGAAGTCCTCCATGTTGGCTCTCCAGCCCTGCATGCTCCCCAGGGCATAGGTGAGCCCCCAGCGGGTGCAGCCCTCCTCTGTGAGTTTGTCCAAAACAGGCCTGTCCAGGTACGGGCTGGGTATCACCTCCTCCCTCTCTCCTTCTGCTGGATGCTCCCCCTCAGCAGCCCCCCCTCGGCCCCCTTTAAAGAAGGAGCTGACCCTCTTCTCTGTCTCCTTCACCAGCTGACGCACAAACGCAGGCATCTCCACACTGCCCTTCCTGGCTGTCCTCATCACTGTGGTGAAAGCAGGTTGTGCTGGTTGCTTGAGTGAAGGAGGCCTAAGTGCGTAGCCGTGCTCTAGGCTCAGAGCATGGCATGTCTAAGCAGATGCTGCAGCTCTGTGTTACCGGCTCATCTCCCTCTCCTCTGTGCCTCTCCTCTGTCTCTCTCTGGAGACTTCAGCAGTGCTTCATCCTGCCCATCTTCTTCTGCTCGTCGCTTGTCTCTCTGCTGCCGTAATTTCACCTTCTCCCTCGCTTTTTCATAGCTCTCTCCTCTTTCCCCAGCTCTCTGTTTTTGTCTTGTTATGCTCCTTGCCTGCTTTGTGATTGGCTAGCTATTTATATGCACCAATCATGGCCTGGTTTATCCCTGCCTGAGCTCACTGCCTCCACATCCTCCTATCTGCAGTTGGCCCCTCCCACCCTGTTAATCTTACCCTTTGATCGGTTGGATTATGGACTGTACCGGATTACTGCATGGATGGCTATTTACTAACAACCAAGAGCAATCAGCAAGTGCAGAAAACATCGCTTATTTCAAAATTTGGTTAAACACACAAACAAACAAACCAACAAAAATCTATCCAGTGTACATAGCCTACTTTTAATTTATGAGTCATCTTCAGCTAAAACACCCAAAAATATGACACTGATATTAAAGCCGAACTGTGAAATTGACATTTAACACTAGGGCTATAGGGTTATTTAAAGAAGATATTATGTTTTTTCAAGTTTTTAGTATTAAACCATAACATGTGAATGGAGACTATTATTTTACATTCAGTTCACAGTAAACCATAATATTGATCTAAAATGGCTTATTATTAGAGCTCAACAGTGACTGTCTGCTTAGGTTCCAGAAATAAAGTTTCCACGTCTTTTCCCCGTACACTTTTTGAAAAATTCAAATATTGAAAGCTGTTTAAGTCCAAAAAACACATTTAAAATGAATGATTCTGCAAACTGCAAATAACTTGGCTGTGTATAAAATTTCAGAAACAGATTTTAAATAAAATTTAAGATTGCTAACTTTGAATATTCATTTTTATCGGAAAAAATATATATTTCCAGAACCAGGGAGTGGGCGGTCACTGTTGAGCTCCACAGTAATGGGTCTGTTGATTTCCTGAAACCAATAGAACTGAACAGAAACAGCAGAATAGACAGGTCCCATCTCTTCATAATGGCATGTGACATTTTGAAACCTTTGTGGATTCAGAATTTTCTGTAATAATCACAAATACAGTACAAACAATAAAGAATTACTCAAACAGGTATGGATCAATCAAAATACAGTAAACACCATTATGACATCATAAAAACTTGATTTTACATACACAGTATCCCCTGATTTTAATTGTTACTTGTTTTGTTTTGCTTCTACCCCCATGTCTCACTAGTAATGCAGTCATTCCTTCCATAAACTACTTACTGTTGCCCACCAAGACATCACAAGTCACAGTAAATATCCTCAAACTTTCTCCAGGGTGCCGTTCTACTGAGGTTAGCTGAAAAGGTCACAGAAATGCTTCAGATCAGATTTAAAACCTTTAGAAAAAAAATTCAAAAAAACAAACTATAGTCCCTAGATTCAATATAGATGGTGTGGACTATGTGGAGAGTGCCAATGTGCCATACACCCTCATTATGTACATTTTATTAATCTTTGTAGGTGTAAGTGTCTGCCGCAACCTATCTATAACAAGGAAGTGTGAATTTAAGGTGAGAATATGCATAGTTTACGTTTACAGCCCTGACCAGACTACTCTAAGATATGAAGCAAAAGATCACTCTTTACTTCAGTACTTTAGGAACTACTCACTTAAAAATCTATTTGAAATGTGGTTGTGGAAGGAGTATAGGTGTTTAGTGCCACTTTAAATTAAAACTCAGATTAGAGCCTAACAGAGCCTCAGACAGAGCAGAGCCTTCAGTTAGCATCACACCCGTGCTGCAATGTATCATTTTTAATTAGACCTGTAAGCACCAGAGGGAGTAAAGAGCAGAGATGCTCCGTCTCATTTGCATTCACATAGTATGAAAGAGCCTCACTAGTGGTTTGTTCTAATGGGATTCAACAAGGTGACATAAAGGTGACTGTGAAATTAGCTTAGTATTAACTTTGTTACCTATACTATACTATACTATACTATAGCAATGAATCAAGTGAGTGAAAAATATAAAATGTATATGAAATGGCTGCTATGGAGTGTCCCACATGTGGCACAGTGGCTGCAGGTCGGCTGTTCACTGACGGAGGACCCACGAGAGACTGAGAGCTGAGGGACATGTACAGGCTTTAGTCTCAGGTTCCCCTTTGAGTGTGTGTGTGAATCCAAACAGGGGGTATCCAATACAGGATAAAATTAGGCCAGCCAGACCTTATATTGCTGACAGGCTGGGAAAGCCAAAAAAAGCCTGCACTGGAAGCCAGCAGAGAGGAGAGAAGACCAGGCAGGAACACAGCAGAAATGGCCTCTAAATGTAAGAAAATCCAAGCTGAATGTTTGAATAAATGTGAATGAGAGTCAGCAGGAAGTGATCGGTCAGTGTCAAACGCAGACAGGATGATTTAAATGGACACAGGTGCAAACAGAGACAGGCCTGTCAAGTCCAGCATGTCTTTCATTTGACGACAGATGGACAAAAGCTAAATGAGATTTAAGCACTGATTGAATATTTGGGTTGAGTTATTTTCAGACTTTTCGTTTGTATCTCTATCATATGCACTGAGTGTGTATTGAGTGTGATAGACTGACTTGACTGAATACATCTTGACCCAACACTTAATGATAATAACAGACTTGTTGCTTGTTCACTATTCACTGTTTGATTATTATGTTTACATATCAGATGGTTTTGCATTAACACTAATCCACATCTAACTACTTCGCTAGACTTAGACTTAGATTTACACAAACTTTATTGATCCACAAGGAAAATTACTTGGACAGTGATTCTATAGCAGCTGTTATTGTATTTATATGACTCATATGCTGACTAATCATGAACATTAGTTCTGACCTAGCATTTTGTCAATAGTGTGCAGCAAACACATTTTGTGGTATATTGCTTTTGCGCTACCAGTTTTCAAAACATATTTTATTGCTATCGGGTATCATAGTTTCAGTATCCTGTTATATGTGACTTTTTTGTTGTTGTTTAAATTGTCAATTGAGATGACAACAGTGCACATTTTTCATCATTCTGAAACCCATGGATTGACAAAGGTGTTGTTTAAAGGTGTGGGGCCTGTCACCAGTTTTTTTTTTCCATGGATATCACTGCTCTGGCTGGAATGTTCCATAGTATGACATTAAACAGCTCTACTTTATATTTATGAAATTACAGATGGTTTCTCAAAAATATCTAGAAAAACAGGCATTCTGACTGTGAGCGGGGATGTCTCTCCAAAGATCTGACCTGTAACATGGTCTGATTTGGTCTCCATGAAGGTAGAAAGGTTTTTAGTCTGTCACAGTGAGGTAGTGAACCATATGTTTAGAGTCCTCTATCAGTTTTTGTGTCTCTTGGCAGTGGTGGAGCTGGTCTATTGGAAAAAGGTCCGAAAGACGGGCATAATCTTCACAGGGCTGGTCGTGAGTCTGGCCAGTATGTTCCAGCTGAGTGCCATCACAGTCCTGTCCCACATCTGCCTGGGCATCCTGTGTATCACCTTCACTCTACGTCTCTACTACAAGCTACTGGAGCTGCTGCGCTGGAACCCTGGGGTGCACCCTTTTCAGTGAGTCAGACCCAAAAAAACAGAGCTTGTGTTTTGTTTTTGTTTGTTTTAGTTTATTTTTTGTAATTAAGTACAATTAACACAGCAGAATCCAAACAGAAACAATAAAACACAATCACAAAATGGAAATGACACAGATATTTTGGACTACAGATCTCTCTCTACAGAAATCTGGCATATTTACTGGGTTCATGGTAATTAATGTGCACTGTCCCATTTAAATAGACAAGCAAACAAATAAATACATACCCCCCTCTTCCACTGGTATTATTATTATTTTTATAATTATAAACAATATTTGTGTTTCTCTACATGCGTTGCTGGGACAGCTCAATTCTACTCATTAAATTCATTTTATTTTTTATCTTTCTGTTGGTTGGCCTCTGTTTGACTGCTATACATTTTTGTTCATCATTTAAGTTGTTTTATTTTTTGATTACTGCTTGATTTATTTATAATTATTAGTGAGAAATATACATAATTAAAATCTTAATAATAACCTTATGAGTTAGCTAAATAAATGATTGGGGTTTAATTACCTGTTGTTCTGCAGGTCGTACTTGGACTATGACAGCACACTCACAGATAAGGAGACTGTGGCTCTGGTGGAGGAGGTGGTGCTGTTGATCGCATTCGCAGTGACTGAAATCAAACGGCTGCTCTTCATCGAGAACATAGTTGACTCCATCAAGGTCTCCACAGTCAAAAATCTGTCAGAGATGTGTTTTTTCATTAGGTTAAGTTTATTACAACTAACTAATGACATAAACAAGTCTTGATATTTGAGCAGCTGGCAAAATTTGAGTTGATTTTAATTCTTAGCTAGAAACACATTCAGTTTGCCACTCCTAATGTTATGACAATGAAAAAAGTGAAAGGTGAATTGAAATACCAGATATATATTTTAAATATGTCAAGCCCTGGTGCTCAGTAGTGTTAAGGTCAAGGGAAATTCTATAAAATGTTACATACATAATACATACATACATAATAAGTCTTCACACAACTCACATAACAGAGCTAAGACTATCTTCTTCTTCTTTCTACAGTTTGCAGTGCTCCTGTACTTACTGACTTATGTTGGTGTGATGACCACTGGACTCACTCTTGTCATCACTGGTAAGTTCTAGATGCTTCAGGACCATCAAAGCAAATCTCTAAAAACAAAATATGCAGTTACTTCCAAACACAAAAACATTTGAAAAAAATACTACTACTACTACTAATAATTATTATTATTATGTATGTGTTTAATATTTTAATTAATATAATAATAGTTTGTTTCTGTTTTTACAGCTGTAATTGCCATGTTCTCTTTCCCTATATTGTATAAAAAGCAGCAAGTAAGTAGTTTATTGACTATGACTTATAATATAGCATCACTAGTTATAAGTTATGAAACAGCTTTGATTGCAAAGTCTTTCTGATATTTATAATAATGCCTATGACCTCAAGGTACGGATAAGAAGAATCACAAGAGCAGTAAAAGCGTTTATAAAGAAAATCAAGAGCCTGTAAGTACCTCCACAGTGTTAGAAAGCCTCATGTGCATGTTTCAAAGTGTATTATGTAATAAACTGTGCTTACACGTTTCTTTAGCTTCTCCAGCTTGTATGAGTCAGTGAGACCCTCAGAGCCCTCAGAGCCGGCCTCCAAACCTGCCATAACAGCTGTTGCAGCCGCCACAAAACAGAAAGCAAAGTCCAAGTAAACAATTTGTTTGTTAAAATGCAGGTGAAGCAGTTTGATGTTAAAGGGTCATCCTGTTTGGGGCCGCTGGAGGCAACTCATTTCCATTTGTTCACCTCCTCCATGTTTGTTTATGGGAGCAAGATTTAATTGATCCTGACAGCAGAAACAAAGCTGCCATTCACTACAGAGAAGAGGGGAGGAATTTATTCAATGCATTACTCTCCTCTGGCACATTTTCATGAACTTGTTCAAAACACCCCCAAGAACAATCACAGTTTGTTTAACCAAATGTTTTGCATATGGAGCTGGAGGTAAACTAGTAGGCTATTTGATTCTTGAAGGTGCACTATGTAACATTTCTGGTGGGAGGTCTTCCACCTGCTTGTCATTAACTGTTTTGGTTAGAATGTTCCACAGTATGACATTTAACTTATCTATCTCCATGGATACAAGCAGGTGGCGCCACCAGGCCAAGTCATTACTCAAATCGAATGCAGAGGATACTCACAGAATGCATGTTATTCAATGAATTTATGAGCAATATCAAAAATGTAATTGTAAAAATGCAAGTTTAATGCCATACTGTGGAACATTCCAAGCAAAATGATAACATCTCCATCGGAAAAAAATAGGTAGCGAACCACCAGAAAAGCACCTTTAAAGTATATTGCCCATAGTTGGAAGTCATGAAAGCACATTAAAATAATCATTGTCATAAACAGGTAGCTAGACCTACGTAATTAAACTCCACGACACGCCTCATAAAACATATGTTTTTAGCACTGAGAGTAGTTGCTTCCAACAGTGTTTCAAGTTCAAGGCAAAGCTAATTAGCTGTAGTGGGCCTGCGAATTAGCATTTTATGTGTCTTTTTCCATTATGCTTTCACATTTTAAACGCAGCTGCAAACTACAATGTCTTAAATAGCAGTCGTTATTATTTGTAATGTCTCCAATAATGCACAGTAAAGTTGAACGGTACTTACTTCTAGTTGAACTCTGGAGAGCAACAATAGGCCACTGGCCACAACTGTGAGGCTTTGTGTCGTTGTGCCAAAAATGTTCTTTGTATTGTTGCGTTTTATGCTAAAATGAACGATTTGATAGCCACAACTAGTCTAAAATATCGTGCTGATGTTTTTCAATGTTTACTTAATCTTTGGGGTATTTATTGTTTTATACTGTCATAATTTACTGTAACGATCCCCAATTAAAACACAAACACCCTGTTGGTAAACTTACTTAAGTTTTATTTATTGTTTTATTTTGTTATTTTACAGTAATACATCTATACCATAATTGATTTATTGGAATTCATTTGAATGTTTCAAATGGGCTGATATTTGTAGTATTTGATGTGGCCACGGTGTGTCGCTCTTGTCAAATATCTTCTTTCACATTCACACAAATTGAGGCAGGACTGTGAAAATAACAGTGCCTTCTATCTAGGTGCATCCTCTTGAATTCTAGTAAGTGAAATAAGTTAGAATTACTTAATAAGCCCAAATGGGCCTACTTAACATGGGTGGGCTGTTCTTTGTTGTCTGGTACAATATTATTATAGGAATCACTAACAATCCTCCTCGCATCAGTTCAAATGCTGAGAAATTCAAGGACTTTTTCTCCCTCCTTCCCACAAGTCGTGACTCAGCCCTCTCCTCTGTGGTTGTTTGAGGAGGCTCTCGAACACATTTACACTTCATTCAGCAGTCTTGTTTAGGAACAACTATTTTCTTTGTCCTTGTGACCGGTGCAGAAAAATGCCTTTCAAATTATAAGGTGTTGTAAGCAATAATAACAATGAAATAACATGAAATGAAAATGAAATAACAATAAAAATACTCCAATATGGCACTTAAACAGTTCTCCAGGATAATGTACAAGTTGGCGTCTTCCCTTTAGTCACTGACTGTTGTCTTTTATACAAAATATACAGAAATTCCTATTATATTAACTAACACTCTAGCTACTACAGGCAAATGTTGGCAAAATAATTTTTACAGACACAGCTTTATAGAAAATGATTGGTCTGACAGTCTCTTATAAATGATATTGACAGTGGCATATTTAGCCCTAAAGTCAGAGAATATTTCAATATAATGAGGTAAAGTCAAAGTGTGTCCTAAACAAATCTAACCTATTATCAGCATGTGATTCCCTTATAGCTTCCTTGACAAAAATTGCAGCATAATTATGTACTAGGCCAATACTGAACCACAGTGTCAACATATAGCCCATAATATGAAACATTACATTCACTGAAAATACAAGTTCTGGAGTTATATACAATGAATCCCTGTTGAAGTTACACTGCACAGTATGTTTGTCTCATACATAGTGTTCACGGTGGTTAATGTAGACCCGGTCTGTTCCACTCTGGTGACACACCCACTCGAGGTGAGACGGCTGCTGGGTGGGGCTCCGCTGGGTGGAGCTTGGCTGTTTCACCTGTCTGCACCTGGAGGAGGGGGTCTCAGTGTTTGGGTGGTCTGTTTGCTCGTACCTGCGCTCTGCCCTGCGAGCCTGGAGATAAACACATTCATTAATTAATGTGATTTATTTTCTACATGAAATTGCTTGACTTAAAGGTTCTCTAACTTCTTTTTTTCACCACCTACTTGTTTCCAAATGTTACAGCTTTGCTTGGCATGTTCCACATACGGCATAGTACGGTCAAGTTACAGATCAGATCCAGGAAAAGGTGACTACCAATATTTCTTAGTAATCAGAGAACCAGGCACTGAATAAATGCAAGCTAGATAATCTCAAATGAGACAAGGAGGTGGCGGACCACTCACCAGAAAACTGACAGAGTGCACCTTTAAATGCTCAGTGTAACACTTTATATCATCTACAGTAAAAATCAAGCTCATGTTATGTGAGGAAGGGCATCTGGTGTAACACCATATCAATATAAAAGTACAAGAATAGAAACGGAAAGCCATAGCGCAATGAACATTACATGTATTCAGGCTTAAGTTAGTTTCAGGCCCCTGTCCCTGAACTCACATCTATTTTTGTATGAGCACATTAATTATAAATATTTCATCTGAGTAAATAAAATATTTACTTTTGAGCCATGGTCATAAATTCAATTTACTACAATACAAGAATGCCATGCAGCTTATGGATAACTTAGGACATTTATTTGTGTGCTCATTGATCATCATTATCCAGCCAAGTATTTGCATTTACGGTAGGTACAAAGACGGATTTGGAATACCTGACACAGCCATGCCACCTGCGATGCATGGACCCCCAGAGGAACGGCGGGCGGGTGCTCTGAGTAGGGAGGAGGCGGCTTGTGAGTGGGAGGGAGGTCAATCCTTTGGACAAAAAAGAAAAAAGTTTTAGATGGACTCATCAGGAGCAAGTGCTAAAATCAAGTCTATTCTGGATTCTAGTAAACTATTTAAAAGGGCACTTCATAAGTTTTTAGAGGGCCTGAAACCAGATATTTTCAATAGAGATGAGAGAGTTGTTTTTTCTGAAATGTTCCACAAAATGGCATAAAACTTTGCAAAAACGTATTGCTGTATACAAACAGCTGTTATAATTAAATACACGAAAGACAGATGTGTTAGACAGATAAAGACATTTTCATGAGGCAAGCAGGTGAGGAACCCTCTGTCAGAAAACTTATCATATATCAGTCAAGTGTGTTTGCAAAGACAAGGCATAAAATTTAAATAATATAAATACAGGAAGTAGCACTGAGTTCAGGGAAACCTTATCTAATACACAAAATTCAATCCAAAATGCAGGGACAATTTATGCACAGGGAACAAATTTTTCTTACAATTTAAAAATTCTATTAACATAATAAAGGTACTGCCAACATTTTTTACATATATATATATATAAAAGCTATAATTAAGTATATTTCCTGCTCTCACTGAACCATTATATTGTTTGACCATATCGTTTTTAGGGAGACATTTTTAACATTTTTAACATTGCCCAGGAACAACAGATGAAAAATTGCCTTTTAGCTAATTCTGGTACATTTACAGTCAAATTGATTAATGTACACTGTCCCTGTCAAATACATACATAAAATAAATCATGACTGTTGTGTAAATTAGATGCGCTTTGGCCCTTGTTAACATTATAGCTACTACAGTTATGTTACCTCTATGTCATATCTGCTTCAGTAAAGAGGTCAAACTATGGACAATGAAAGATTTTGAGCAAAATCTTATATCAAATGTAATCTAATCTAGTCTATAATTATGTTAACTACATTTTAGTGAAATTAGAAGTCAAACCTGTCATATGGACTTTAATATTGATTTAAATTCCAATTGCACTGGGTCGCTAAGGATAAAACCATTTTGTAGAAACATTTGTGGAGTGGGAAGCACATCCTAAAGGGCTTCCTCTGGTACAAAGACGATGAGGTTCATTCAGAGTATTCCCAAAACGCCACTAAAAGAATTCACTCCACTGGCCACTGTCATTCATAAAACCATACCATGACAGACATTGATTTCCCTGTACTGTAAATCACTCTAAACTGTGGCTTTTCGTTCTGGGATAAAGAGCAATAAGAACAGGGGTAAGGTCCTCTCCTCTGTCCCATGCAGCTCCAAGAGAGACAGCCCTTCCTCCACTCCCTCCTGACAGCCCCGCACAGGACACTGAGCCAGGGTCACACTTAAGATGCTAAGTTGGTCGTGTCCACAAACCAACTTAGCATCTGTAGTATCCGTGTACCAGAGCAGCCAAGACAGACAATGTTATGCCTTTTCCCATGTTGTCATATTTGCTAAAGGTACATCATAAATAATTAATTATGTTGTTTCTGTTAAATAGAAAATCCATATAAGCCTTTAAAGTAGATCAGTGTAGATAGGTAGAATGTTTAGAGATTTTATTAAACTTTATTGAACTTATAAATCTTGCATACATTCAATTGTACGTATTTATATTGGACAAAAAATGCAATAGTACTCTGAGCGGGGTCACTTCTCCATACATCTGACCTGTATCTCGGCCTGCCGTTTAATGTCATACTATG